TTGAAAAGTATGCATATTTGAAATCTTGGTAACAAATGCCAATGTCATCTTCCGGAAAGGTTATATCAATGTATATTCCCATCAGTACATATGAGGGTGGTATTTTCTCACATTTTCAGTAACACTGGTTAGTGCTAATTGTTATAGTTTTTATTAATCTGAATTTCTCCAATCACTAATGAGTTTGAGTATCTCATATTTCCTTTTCTATTAATTGCTTATTCTTATAATGGCCTCTCTATTATGACTTATATTGTCTTCATATGGATCTCCAAAAGTAGTGTTGAATAAGGCAGAAACAAGAAAGTTACAAACTACTTTAAGGAACTTCCTCTATGAGGGACAAAAATCTACTAGTAAACATTTGAATGCAAATGTTTGATCAGCAGTGGATTCCCCCAACCAGTTTACAAACCAAGTAACATCCCTCCATTATATTCAAATGAATATTATGAGCATCTTTGCAAAGCATCGTGCTGAAAAAAAGATTAATCATGTCCAGTACTCCCATAGTCTATCTTTTAGCTCTTCCAGAAAATAATATGAAGGCAGTTTAGTTGTATTAATGATTAGCTTACAAAGGTTTCTTAATATGCATTCTAGAGTATTGCTGAAAGTAATGCTCAGCTCACACTATAGATGCCATAATCCATCTTTCCCCCTCCTTTTAAAAAACTGTAGTTTTACCTCACTTAGATTTCTGGCACCTGGCTGATTTTCTATTTTACAGAGATAAGGGGCAGTGGTTCTGAGACCTATAATCTTTCATTCAGTCTGCAAAGCCTATATTCCAGGTCCTCTTTGACTGTCTCCTGATTTGGGTTGTGCTTCAATTCCCTCTCTGTGATATCAGTTCTACCCTTCTCAGTTTGAAGATTATGTTCCTTGCTGGAGAAGAAAGAAACAATTGAGTGCCTCTGCCTTTTCTCTGTTAACACTTAATAGGCCCTTCTCTCTGCAGTCAGCTTATCCTTTCCTTTATCTGCTAGCTTCAAACTGTCTATGTTTCTAAAGGCCTTTCTGTGGTCCTCCTCACTTAGCACTACTCAGCCTCTTCTGGAGTTTTCCTTCTATCACTTTATTACAGGGTTCATATCACCCATTGTCTTATTCTCCTTGGTTTGTGTCCTTTCTCTCATTTTTTGGTGCATGCCATTTCAAAACAGACTTATCAGAGTTTCTGCAGTATAAAGTTTTATTTTTCAGAGTTCATAACTTTAAAAATATATTCCTTTTTATTGCCTCTAACCTCGGGGTTATAATTATGTTTCTGTGAACTTTCTGAAGTTTGCTTTCCAAAAGTGTCAATTACATGTCTACTATAACCAGAGGTTCTTTCTTTATTCTATATTACAGAATCTGGGATGGCATAATTCCTTTCTTTCATCTTCATAAAGGCAAAGACTGGATTTTATTTCATCTATTTGATGAAGTAAAGATTTCTATCATATAAACATCACCAACGAATCCTTCCTTGCTTGTCAGAATTGAGTGTAAAGTAAAAGTTCCTATCATTCCTTCTTGTACCTTTTGAAAGATGAAATTATCAGGAAAGAAAATCAAGAATGTATTAAATGCTAAGCTTATTGTGGAGATTTAGAACAGATGTTTAAGTAGTTCAAGTGCCCCATCAATATTATACCTTGTCTCTGTGACAGTTTTATCATTTGATTTAGGAAAGCATCCTCCAACTCTTCCATTTAGCCTGACATTCTTAGCATGTTCTCACTCTCACAAATAACACTACTCTCTTCCCTTCATTTAATTCTCTCCAAGTACTGTATGCTGTACATGTGGATTCCATATATTTGCAATTTTGACACATGGGGGTACTGTATATCCATGTTTATCAGACTTGTTTATATTGAAAAACATGCACCATTCCACCACTGAAACCAGTTCCATTTCCTCAAGTGTCACTAACATTTAGGACATCATGTTTATATGAGTGGTAGATTCTATGATGCACCCCTCATTCCCCTTCAGGAATAAAGACATTACTCCAGCGACTGGGAGTGCCACTGAAGCTGGTCTTCAACTGTCAGTCCCTTTGGGGACAGCCTCAGCTGAAGAAAGTGGCCTCATCCCCCACAGCTATGCCCCTTCCAGGGTAGCCTGCATACATTGACTGGTCTCTCATGCTCAATTCAGAACAGCACTGAGGGTGGTCACATCTTCAGAATTCCTCAGCAGGGTTGGCTGACACAGTCCATTGACATTGCATTGGAGCTCTACTTCTCCCACTGCTCAATCTTGCTTCTTCTCTTCCACAGGCATTAGTTCCAAGACCATTTTCTAATAAACTCCCTACATGCCATCTCCATCTCAGGATCTGCTTCCTGGGAAACCCAACTAGGGACAATTTGCTTGTTTTACAGTTTCAGGTATATTATATTATCTTGTACATTGCAATATCAATAACTGAGCCTTCAGTATTATTCCCAATCTAGTCTTCTGCTATTTTCTTAGAATCACTGACAATTACTGAGCTTCTCTTCCTCCCTCTATAAATCTTCTTTCCATGCCATCTGTTAACTTCTATTTATATGATTTATAAGTTTCTTCTCACCCTTTCTCTCCTTTTCCTCCAAACTCTATGCAAAGCCCTTTGTCTAGTAAGCTTTGTTTCTGAAACATTTTTTTCTAATTTTCCCAACATGCATTTCTTGTCTTGTTTGTCAGGAATCTGTTATTTTGATATTGTAAATCAGAGTTGAGACTGACATTATCTTCTGAGGCACCTTTTCACTTCCAGCAGTCTTAATTCTCTAAAGGCACAATTTTTGACTAAAGGAGCCCAGATAGTGCTGGTACATTAAGGCCTCTGCCTGTGACCCGGAGAGTCTCCTGCAGTAAGGATTCAGTAGGAGGCATTGACTCCCAAGGGAGGGCACAGTGGGCTCACATTCTTGGAGGAGTTCTCAAGGGCCAATGAGTGCTGTGTGTTAGTTTGGCTTTCTGAGAGCATGATGGGACAGAGTCAAGAGTTCAAGAGTTAAAATGAAGGGGGAAAAAGCAGGCTAGGGCAGGGAAAGATTTCAGACAGCAATGTGAAACTGACAGTGATGAAAGGAAAATGAGAAGGAAGCCGAACTGGTCAGGGAGAACTTCAGACCATGCTGCAGATCTAACAAAGTCTTGGCCAAGCCAGTGAGGAGATTTAGAGCAAAGCCTGTCTATTAGAGGTGTCTAGCAATGAACAGAAATAACCAGGCCTACCATCCCTGCTGTATTTGGCCATTGACTAGGGGCTGCTTGGGAAAAACATGGCTTAGGCTTGAAAGTTGAGGTAGGTCCTGGCAGCTGAATGTTTAGTTCTTTCTTGAGGGGTCAAGTGGGCACCTCCGTCCGTGGCTACCAGTCCTCCTGTGTGCCATGTGGGTCTCCTTTCCTGTACAGGTTCAGGGACCAGCTCCTCTAGATTCCACTGGGCCCATCTCCCTGAGGGAAAACTTAGAAGGGGAAGGTTAGTGGGATGAACAATATCCCCCATCACTCACAAAACTATCTAGAATGAGATTTCTCATTGCTAGTATGGCAGGAGGGATACGGCCCAGCAGCTCATCTTGTCACCTGCTTTACTGAATCATGGTCTATAGCAACTATGTCAGTTGGCTCCTCCAGGAAGCAGATGCTAAGACACAGTAGGGAGTATGAGAGGTTTATAA